CCCGCCCCCGCCCATGCTGATGAGAAAGGACCCGCCCTCCCTGGAAGGTTTCAGAGAAAGGTCCCAGGATAAGAGCAGATGTGAATGTGTGAGCACACCAAGATTAGCCCCATGATGGAGCACCAGAGATTATGGCTAGACTTTCAGCCTCAACCACACATCTCAGGTGACCAAAGGCCCCGCACACGTATGCACACCTGTTGCCACACCCCTTCCTGACCAGCAGCCCAGAAAGAGCTCTTGGAAAGTCCGACCTCCCAGAGCTCTGCAAGCACCCTCAAGAAATCTGGGCTCCTGGTTCCCTCTCAGGCAGGGGTCCGATGGGCACAGAAATGCTCCATGAACCTGCGCCAGGATCACCTATGGGTGGCAGAGCCCGAGATTCAGTTTCCTCCTTCGCTGGATCTGCCAATAAGTACTACTCTGAACAGTCCTGCCTTCCTCCACTGGTCCACGGGGACCAAATGGACTAACCAGGCCTTATCTACCCTGGGGACCGCCCAGGAGAGGAAGCACAGGAAAGCCTGCAAACCAACACTAGAGACAAACTTGTGTCAGCTCGTGGGAGGCAAAGCCAAGCCTTGAGGGATACCAGGAGGGGTCTCTGCGTCCAGGAGGGAGTTAGCAGCAGAGCCTGTATTGGAAGAGGCAGGAATTCCGTCCTCTAGGAAGTGAGGAGTAGCGGACAGGTTCGAGGCACAAGGCACAGGGCCTCGGAAGCGAGAAGGCGCTGGGGCACTTGAGGCGCAGAGCAGCAAGACAAACCCGCGCCCTGCTCCTGGAGCCCCGTCTCCTCCACGCCACCTTCGAAGGCCCCCCAGGACGCACTCACAGGCCGGCACCAGCTCCAGGAAGAGCGCCTTTTGTGTGCGGTCCCGCTGCCGCAGCTCCCGCATGATGTGACGTTTCCAGAGGGCAGCTGGGGCGTCAGGGACGCTGAGGCCCCCGGACCCCGCCATGGCCGCCGTCTTCCACTCGCTCGGTGCGCGCTCCAGCCGGAGAAGGCAAGTACCAGAGGGGCGGGGCCGCGCGGGGATTCCCCTGGTAGTACCAAGCGTGCGCACGGGGGAGCGCTCCACTCGGGCTTGGGAAAGCCGCCTCGGGTCTACGCCGCTGAGGCCCACCAAATCGTTTACCTCGGAGGGGCTCCCGTCGGTGTCTGGGGTGATTGATACGAGGGGCTCAGGGTCGGAGCCTCCGAGGCGGCCTCCCCCTCGCCGGCTGGTGCGCTCCGCAGGCGGGGCCACTAGGCCCAGGTCCTTAACCCCACAGCGCCCGGCCCAAGCTTCAAAGAAGATGCTCTCCCGTGTCCCCACGCTCCAGTCAGAAATCCGGACTCCGGATCCGGACTCCGAGAGAACACAGACACCACAAGGCACATGCGGTATGACAAAAGCACAGAGGCAGAATAGATTGAAGAGAAGAGACTTTCTTTCCGGAGGTGATGGCATTAAGTTCGGTGAAATCAGAGCTGGCCATAGGGAAAGAAAAGGGGACTCTAAACTACAGTAAAACCCAGTCCAGGGCCGGGGATGTAGCTCAGCGGCACAGCACCTTCCTGGCAAGCACGAGGCCCTGAGTTCGTTTCCCGGTACCAAAAAAAAGAAAAAAAGAAAAACCCAGTCCAGGCGTTCAAAGACAGAAAAATTCCCAGCAGGTTCGGAGCTGCAAGGACAAGGGAGGGCTGCTAGAACAGCCTATGGGAAGACTGGTGGAGCAGGGCTTAAAGGGCTCAGTTGGTAGCAGGAAAATTTAGAGTAAGTCCCTAAGAGTAAAAGGGATGCTCCTGGTTTTATTTGGAAACCCCTAGCCCAGAAGAGAGGAAGGACTTGGTTGCCTGAGGTTGCAGGGAGTGGGTGCTGAGCTGGCCAGCAGCCCAGTGTCCTGGCTCAGTATCCTGACTCAGGGCCCAGTGATTCCCATCTTTGGGCAGCCTCTGGAGGAGCAATCATGGGTTGCAGGGGAACTGTTTCTGTTTCTAAAGGTGCCTGTCCAGAGCTCTACAGACTCAGACTGGGTTGAGAAATGAAAGAAGAGATCACACTGTCCCAGCATAACCCTGAGGAGCCCTGAGGAACCCTGGGGCAGGCCCAGGAAGTTCTGCTCTTCAAGTAAAGGTCGACCTGGCCACCGCCAGAAAAGAAGAGAAACTGGGCAACGAGGAGCAGCCTTTCAGGTCCTGCAGGTTACAGGTCTGCTGTGATTCTGGTGGGGATGGGTCACAAGACTTGGAAAGCATTAAAGCCAATGATACCCAAGGACAGTGTACCCTCCTCTGCTTTGAAACAACAGTGAACAAATGGCCTACACTGTCATTGCCTTGGACCTTGATGGCCTTTGCACATGCTGTGTCTGATGTTTGCAACACTTTCCACTCAAATCAGCCTGGTTCTCCTCATGAATCATCTCCAGGGACACTTCCTTGCCCCTGCACTTAATTAAGGCTTCTGTGACACAGTCTGGGGTCCACAGCCCTACACATCCTCTAACATCACAATCAGCACACCAACCTACTATGGTCCATGGGTTCTCTTTGGGACAGGGCCTGGTCCCAAGTATCCCGGGCCAGCCCAGGCCCTGCCTGTTGAAGAAATAATTTCTGTTGCAGGTGGGTGATATAAATTTACCAGAAAGCATATCTGGAGATGGGCATAGTGCTGTGGAGACCCAGGGCCAATTGGTAACAGTGATGAATTCACTTTAGGGATTCCCTGATTTGCTCAGATGCTTGGGCTGTGTGCCTTGGAAAATGACTGTGCCCAGCTATGAAATATGGCATGCTGTTTCTCTCAGGTGAGAAGTTATATTGGGAGCAGTTTTTCCTAAATCTTTTTTGACCCATGGACCACTATTTAAATGATTTTTTTTAAATAGTACAGGGGATTAAACCCAGGGCTTTCCCACTGAGCTACGGCCCCAGGCCATTTTTTAATTTTTTTATTTTATTTTGAGACAGGGTCCTGCTCAGTCACTAAGTTGCCCAGGCTGGCCTCCAGCTTGCAGTCCTTCTACCTCAGCCTCCCACAGCACTGTGATTACAGACCTGTGGCATTTGGCCTAATTTTATCTTTTTTAAATAGTGTATGAGGAAAAAATAATTGACTGACTAAATATTTATTTTGTCTTTAGAACATGAAAGACTGTATTATGAGGCTCACTTCAGCCAGGTGCGATGATGCATATGTGTAATCCCAATTTACTCAGGACAACCAGTGCCGGTGCAACCAACAAAGGTGCTGGCCAGCCCAAGCCACTCATTTTTATTAGCAGTCAATTGGGGTAAAGGTAACCTATGTGAAAGGGCAGGACCACATGTGGTTTTTATGGAAATTAATGTAAACAAGGCTCTTAAAGGACAAAACAAAGCATTCTCAATTAGGAACAGAATAGACAAAATATATGGTTGCAATTAGAACACTGTTCTTCTAGTTAGAAAGTTTTAGTTCTGGGAATGGAATTTGGGTGAAAGTTATTCTGACCTGGCCACATAGGCTTCAGCCAGACTCACTTCTAAAAACAAGCCAATTGTGGGGTTAACTCTACAGCCTGCTTTGGGAATAATCAATATTGCAGTCTCCCGCAGTTAGGTATTTCCTAGAAGCAAGAAAATTGTTCAAAATTTTAGTCAAAACAGTGTAGTACTGGCATAAGGGTAGACATAGCCCAGTGGAATAGAATTGAAACCCAGAAATAAATCCATATATATATGGCCAATTGATTTTTTACATAATGCTGTAATGTTTAATTTTCAGTGTCAACTGGACTGGATTAAAGATTCATAAATAGCTAGTTAAGCATTTTTTCTGGGTATGTCTGTGAGAGTGTTGATGAAAAAGAGTGGTGTCATAGTCACTTTCTCATCACTGAGACACAGTACCAACACCCACAACTTAAGGGAGGAGAGGTTTATTTTGGCTCACAATTTGTAGAGGTTTCATATTCTGCTGGTTGCAAGGCAAGATGGCATGGCAGAGGGGCATTGCATCCAGGAAGTAGAGAGAAATAAGGGTAGAGCCAGGGAGGGAGATATGCCCTGGGTTCAATCCCTGGCACTAAAGAAAAACAAAAAAGAATGAAGTTCTGATACAATATGGATGGACCTTGAAAATATATGCTAAGTAAAATAAGACATAGAAGGGCAGATATCATATGATTCCAGTTGTGTTAAATATATAAAATAGGCAATTTCACGGAGACAGAACATAGACTAAAGGTTACTAGTAGGTAGGGGGTAGGGAGAGGGAGGAATTATTGCTTAATATTTACAGAATTCCTGTTTGGGGCAGTGGAAAAGGTTTAGTTATCTAAACCTAAACCTGGGAGACTGAAGCAGGATGATTGCAGGTTTGAGTCCAGCCTGGACAACTTAATGTCTTAGCGAGACTCTATTTCTAAAACAAAACAATCAAAACAAACATTTAAAAGGGGCTTAGAATGTAGCTCAGTGTGAAGGCCCTGGGTTCAATCCCCTGGTACCAGAGGAGGAAGGCTAAAAATAGTCGTGATGATGTATGACATTGTGAATGGAATTAATTTCACTGAACTGTATACTTTAACGTGGCTAAAATGACAATTTTTATATTATCTATATTTTGACACAATTTTTTCTAAAAACCTAACCCTGCTAAGCATGGTGGCACATGCCTATAATCCCAGCGCTCAGGAGACTGAGACAGGAGGATTACCAGCCTGGGCTACATAGTTCAAAGCCAGCCTGAACTGCTAGTGAGACCCTGTCCCACCCCCCACCCCCCAAAAAATAAAAATAAAAACCTAACCCTAACCCTCTTTATCCGGGATCTATGTGAGCCATTAACCCTTAGGCCAGCTTTCTTCATGGTACTGATTTATTTAGCCAGAGGGTACAGCCTGCTTACACCCAACTTCCCCTCAGCCAAGAGAGACCAAAGAGCTTGTGGGATGCCCCTGCTCACAGCCTCTATCTTCAGGTTAATAAAAACAATGAGTCCCCCAGGTCTGGGAAGGGTTAGGAAGGGTCAAGAAAGGAGTGGTAAAGAGGCTGAAAGTTACAGAGCATTTGAATTCAAATCATTCCTCTGGACTAGGGAAAAGAGGCAGCAGACTAAGGTAGAAGGGATTCTGGAGGGGGACATTATAGTCCCCCAACCCCAAAGCTCAGAGTAGAAGGAGGGAGAACAAGGGAGCAGAGTGTGTATAATTTTTGTCTTTTATTTTTGGAATATAGCAGTATCTGGCAGCAGTCAGGGAACAGTATGGTGGGGAAAGGCATCTGATGAGGCCCCATTGTGGCAGAGGGTGGGAAAGAGAGAGAACCTCTGCTTTGGAAGGCAAGGAAACAGGCAGAAACTGGTTGCCACTTCAAGTCACTAGCTGGGCCCATTCATTCCTCCCACAATCCTGACCCACCCTCCTCTGGACTCATCTTTTCTCAAATTCTTCCCCTCCATGGAGTGAGAAATAGCTCCACCTGCCACAGCCAAGAGGTGAATTCTGAGCACTCACCATGGGCACTTTATGGACATAAAATACTTCTTATGGTGGAGCCAGATAACTAGGGCACCAGAGCAGTGGTGGGAGATGTGAGGCTTAGAGGAATCACAGGCTTAATAGAGTCCAAGTTCCCCCTGCCCACCAGCTGGACCATGCCTGAATCTCCACACCCTATCTGTACCTCCCCAGCTGACCTCTTGGCTACAGGCAAGAACCTAGAGGATGTCAGGAGAGGAGAGTATAGAATCATGCAGCAAAAGCATCACTGTAAGAAAAACCAGCAGTTATAGGCTGGTTGAAACAGTACTGAATTGAAGTAAATTCCATCCTGGAGAGCAGACCTGCAAGGCTTGTTGCTCCTGAGAGCTTGTCTCCTGCTTGGACCAGGCTATGGAAGGTGTGAAGGTGCACAGCCACCCTGGGAGGTGATGCTGGTGAGCTTAAGCCTCTTACTCCTGTTCTCATAGTGAGAAAATGAGATAAGGTGTTTCACAAAGCAATGAGAGGGAGCTGCTAAGCTTTAAAACCCACCTCCCATTCAGCAGCTATGTTAACCTCTCACCTCTCCTCTCTGGCCCAGTTCTTTATCCTTCCTTCTGCCTCATCCCAGAACAAGACACAACTGCCTATCAACACTTGCATTTCCTTGGTGGAAGGAGAGGAGCAGAAGAATGAAGAAGAGAAGATTCACCCTCCAATGACAGGGTGGAGGCTGGACAGAGGGCATCAGGGAGCTTCCCTCTACAGAGTCTAGAGAGCTAGAACATTAAACATGGGGGACACTTAAAAAATTACCCCTGTAGTACCATCAAAGACCTTTGCAGGAAAGGAGAGGGGTTTCTTTCATGAATATGAATCTGAGTTGAAGTCTCGGTGCCCTGTTCATCCCTATCCCCAAAATGCATGGGATAAAGAACCTTGGGGCACATAGCCCAGCAACCAAGCTGGCACTGCCCCCCCTTGTATGTATGGACCTGGCCAGTGGCCCCTCTGAACATATTGTTAGTGTGATTGTTTGCTTTGTTTATTTGTTTGTTTTCTGGTACCGGAGATCGAACTTGTGCTTGCAACCTTGTGCTTTTGAGGCTGGCACAGTGCCACTGAGCTAAATCCCTGGCCCTGCTTTGTGTATTTGTTAAAAAATAAATAAAAGTGGTGGTGATGGCACACAACTTTGTGAATGTAGCCAGGGATTTAGCTCAGTGGTTCCAGCGCCTGCCTGGCAAGCGCAAGGTCCTGAGTTCGATCCCCGGTACCAAAAAAAAAAAAAAAAAGAACACTGTGAATGTAACTAATACCACTGGACTGTATAGTTCAAAATAGTTTAAATGACAAGTTTTTGTTAATGATATTTGCACACAATGCTTTTTTTAAAACTCAAGACTTAGGTATGGTGGTATACAACTATCATCCTATCTACTCCAGAGGATTATTTGAGCCTAGGAATTCAAGGTCAACCTGGGAAATGTATCAAAACCCTGTCTTAGACAGATAGATGGATGATACATAGATAGATAGATAGATAGATCTGCAAACATGTATTGATAAAAATTTTAAACTAACCACATCACTCAAAAAAGAAACACAAAGAAGTTAAAAGAGAAGTAATAGACAAAGAGAGGGCTAGAAGTAGAGCTCAGTGGTAGAGCACTTGCTCAGCGTATGCAAAGGCCTGGGTTCCATCCCCAGCACCCCCTCAAAAAAAAAAGAAGATGGGGAGAAAATACTTGCAACATACATATCAAAATAGTAAAATTCCAGAAGTCACAAATAACTTCCACAAATCAATTAAATATGATCCCATTATAAAAATGCAGAGTGGCTTTTATCAGAAGAAAAA